CTTCTCCTCTCTTCCTTTGGTGTGTCCTTGGACGCATGCGTCGTAGCCGGGAACACCTTCCTTTCTTTTCTCTCCCTACCCCTCCCTCTTGTCGGCACCTTAGCTTGGGATGCTACTAGGGGCCCCTGGCCTTCCTACTAGGTGTTAGGTGTTTCTTTGACGCTACTAGAGGCCCCTGGCCTTTCCACTACTTGGGGACGAAGAGTCTCACACCACCTATGGCGCAGAGCTTAAAAATCTTGCCTCCCCTCGGGGAGGCGTGTGTGTGTAACCCTTGGAATCATAGGGATCCTTTCGGATTGTTTTAGCTTCACAGTTGTTTTCCTTGTGTAGCAGGAACGTGTGGCACTCTCGTCCTACCACACGCAATGAAGCTGTGGGCGAGAGTGGGAAGGGAAACTTGGCCAGTTTCCTGTACCTGCTGTGATAATTACTCCAATCTCCGGGCCCTGCTTGTACCTAAAACAAGAAATCCAGCCTTTGCACCGGTTTGCTCTCGGCAGTCACGCATAGGGCTTTGGTTTCGGACGACGTCACTCTGTCGCTCGGTCGTTCGACGGTTCCTTTAGAGTTGATGGCCACGCTGAACTTGATGGACCTCCACTTCCTTTTCAGGTTTCCTGACCTGTACTCTTAGGAATTGGCAACCTAGGCCGGCGTGTGGCACCGCTTTCAGTTCAGTACACCCTATCCTAAGTGTGTGTCTCTTAAGACATTGTGTAATCTGTGAGGGCAGGAACAGAATGCGGTGGGGAAGGTGGATGACAGGCATAGCGAAGCAGGGCGGGTAGGAAAAGAGGGCTTGCAAGAAATCTTGGAGTTGCCTGGCGGTGCCCTTTTTAATTGTGAAGACGCCTGCGCACCACACGCAAAAGGGCACCCCATATGGGGCGCGAGTTCACGTAATGATGCGGAGGGCAGGAGAGAGAACAGAATGCAGTGGGCAAACTTTGAATTGCCTGGGGGTGCCCCTTTTTTAACGGTGAAGAGGCCTAGTAGCCAGACTCAAAAAGGCACCCCATGTAAGGCAGGAGCTCATGTGGATGAGACAGGCATAGCGGAGGAGGACGTGATAGGAAAAGAGGGATTGCAAGAAACGATGTGACCCATTGAGAACAGGGAGGGAACAGAATGCAGCACGCAAGCTTTGAGTTGCTTGGGGGTGCCCTTTTTTATGGCGAAGAGGCCTGTTGACCAGACGCAAAAGGGCACCCCATATGGAGTGGGAGTTCATGTGCAGGATAGGCATGGCGGGGGAGGATAGGAAAAGAGGTGGGGAGCTCACCAGGGATCTCGCATGACCATAATGATATCTTTTTTGGTGGCTGGCTTTCGTCCCCTCCCTTCTCAGGTATAGATATGTATATATCGACAAGTGTCTTACTTTGAACATTTCCACTGACTGAAGTGCCCACATTGGGGCTAGCCCGAGTGCAATCCAGAGTCAGGTTGGGCGGCTGCTGATCGCCTACATCGCATTGTTGGGGGCTCCCGCTGAGAGCGCAGAGGGTGGATGGTTCGAAGGAGGCGCATATTTTGCACTTGTTTATTTGTTCACTCAAAAAACATGAGTGATGTAGTAGATTGTAATACCTATGTTTGAAAATTCGTTTGGACAATGAAATCCAAAAATATGTCTCAAGCTGGAACATTCCCCAAATCATCTTTATGAAGTATCTCCAATCCTGTGCCGGGCAGCTGGAAGATGTGGCAGGATGTGGGCGCTCTTTCAAACCACCACGGATTTTTTTAAATAAATAGTTTTAACCATCAGCCACCGAGCCTCACTTTGTCCATCACTGCCGGGGGCGACCTGGAGTCCAAAGAGCCGACCTGAAGTCGAGCTGACCCTTCAGGAACCCCTCACAGCCGAAATCAGCCGAACTAGCCGAACATGCAAAACCGATAGAAACCCCGGTGAGAAGGGACTCCTGTGTTTTTTAGCAGCAGATTCAGATTCCGACGACGTTTGGCCAAAGCGGAAAGATGGTATGCATCGGAGAACGGGGTATTTCCTTCAAACACTTGACATGTTGAAAGCAGACCCCTCTATCATTCGATTTTCCTTACAGGATGATCTACAGGAGCACCTTTGTGTTGGGCAGGGAACATCCGCTAAACAGATGAATACAGATGAAACTTGTTCGTCCGTGGGCCCAGGCTGCTCACTACTTCCGTGACCCTGTGCGAGCGGAACATTGGCAACGGAAAGCCTTGGAGATCCATGAGGACGGAGAAAAACATGCGAAAAATATGAGAAAACCCAATGAACACGCACACAACACCGTGGATCTGAACAATTCCTTACTTTCCTTACTTTCCATCCGCGCTTTTGGCACTCTTTATGTAGATCACATAGAATTTTTGGATTGTGTTCGACTCTCACCCATTAAGCATTCCACCGGGGTCTACATTTGGGTGTTCTCGGGGCTCTCGGGGTCGTGGGGTGACGGGGTGACACCTTTTCGGAGGACCATTTTGCCGAAACAACATGCCTTTTGGGAAGGCTTCAGCATGCAACAGGCCAGTCGGTTTGGATTTTTCAGGAGATTTGCCAACATGCTTGGAACCCCAAACGAGGCGCGTGGCTGCCGTGTGGCTGTCCAGCAGAGTTACCATAGAGATGAACATGGTAATGTCTCTGGATCGTGCCTCTTATATCCTCGAAAATCCAGTGAAGATGTCCTAACCAGAACATTTGCAAGGTTCATTCACAACCTTTTGGGGTGGCAGCCGAGTGGGGAAGCCCAGAGTGCTGAAATTGGAAACGGCCTTCAGATCATCTCCGGACTCTTCAGACTCGGTTTGGCCGAAGCTTTTGCAGCATCGAAATCTGGTTCGGATGGTTTGGAGATGGTTCTGAAAATGGCAAATGCTCTTTAAGACTGCGCTGCAAGTCCTTGAATCTACTGGATAAGCCTCCAATCCTTGGGTTGATCATGCCACATTTGCGTCGATCGGATTAGAGGAGTTGAAGGGGAGGAGGAAGTTCCATGAATGAATATGAAAGAGGTATTCTGGTGAGCATGTCTTACGACCGTGAACTGCCACCCATCGAGTTCCCCATCGTTCTTTTCACCTGCACAAGTGTCACAAGTGTCACACTGATGGTGTTCATCCATGTTCATCCCACTTCTGGGTCTTTCGCGCCCTCTTTGGAACGTCACCACGTCGCTTTCCGCCCGCGCAGACGGCACCCTTCGGCGCTTCGCGCCGCCAGCGAGGTGGGACCTTCGATCCTTCGCCTGGCCGAGCTGGGCTTCGTGTCTCCGGAGGAGAGCCGAGCAGCTCTGGAGTGGTGAACGTGGAGGGAGCGGTGGTGTTCAGGCACCGAAGCAAGTTTCTGTCTTTCTTTTTAATTGTCGATCTTTGAATCTTTTGATCAGCTTCTCTTTTTTCCATGGTTTTTGGTTCTTTAGATTCATCTAACATAGACTCTAGTTTGTAGGCTTTCTACCATGACCATACTCCAGTCTCAGGGACCGCGGAGACCGCGGACAGCGCGGACAGCGCCTCTCTCTCGCTCCAGGACAGCCGCTTCCGGGGCAGCGTGCGAGCCTTTGAGTTCGACGCCGCTGGTGGGCTCAGCGGGACACCGAGGACCTGACCGGGGACCTGGTGGGTTGGATTTGGGTCGCTTTGATTTGCATCATGGGCATCAGGGTGGATCCGGGTTGGATAAAGACCTGATCGTGGGTCGAAACGGGGTCCGTTGATGGTCTGTCATGGGAATCGCCATGGGTCTGAAGATGGGATTTGGAGCTTCGGCTACGAATCCATTCGTAGCAAGTCAATGATTGAGAGAAACAACCGGGAGAAAAACGAGGCAAGCCATGGCAAGCCTGTATGTGAGGGCAAGAGATTGCAGACCAGACGTTTTAGTCAATTGAAACGGCACGGAACGGACCGAGCGTCCCATTTTGAACGGCAGAGATACAAGAATCGACCCGGGAGGACGGTCGTAGGCGTGTGGGCGTGTGGCACTCACTCGCTTCCTGTGAAGAGAAGTCCGAGGTCATGGCACCGGGAGAACTGGTTTACCACCCTAAATGAACCGAATAACTATAACTAGGTCAACCGACCAGGGAGAGAGTTATGGCTCTGGGTGCCCATGACCCACAGGCCATAATGGATCTAATGGACTGTGTGTGTTTGTGTCAGCAAGCAAGCGTGCAATTGGTCCAAATGAAACCGCAATTCGGCTTGCAGATCAGCTTCCAACTGGTGGGCCCTGATTGTATATCTATATTATAGAGCTATTGGATTCCACTTCAACAATCTTTTTCGATTGGCATGAAGGTCTCTGGTCCCGAACCCTTAACCCAGGACCCACCAGTGAACCACTGGGAGCCCAGGCCTCTTGTGCGACCTGCTTGAAAAATGCCGAGGGCGAGTCCTTGGGCGAGGAGCGGAACCACCGGACCAGGTGAAGGGAGGAGCCACGGGGGAGTCACACGGGCTGACCGTCCTTTTTTTTTGCCCCCATTGTAAGCCTTGAAGGGGAGCGTTGTTCTACCGGACCCTCTTTGACCTGGGCTCAAAGACTTGGGCAATTCTCACATTATTCATTTATCCTGTTTGGGGGGGTTTGTGTTTTGACTGTTTGTTTGGTTTCCTTTTGGTTTTGGGTGGGTTGGGAGTTGGCTTTGTTTGGTTTGTGTGTTTGTGTGTTTTGCTGTGTGGGTGTAGTGTTGGGGTTGTTTTTTGTTTTTGTTCGTTTTGTTATATTTTTTTGCCTTGTCGCTGTTTTTGTCCAACCGCTTTGTTCATCAAGCAAAAGTAGAGAATTCCATCCGGTAGTAAAGGAGGTAGTAGTAGTAGTAGTAGTACTAGTACTAGTAGTAGTAGTAGTAGTAGTAGTAGTAGGAGTAGCAGTAGCAGTAGCAGTAGCAGTAGCAGTAGCAGTAGCAGTAGCAGCAGGAGGAGTAGTAGTAGTAGTAGTAGTAGGAGTAGGAGTAGGAGTAGCAGCTGCAGTAGCAATAGCAGTAGCAGTAGCAGTAGTAGCAGTAGCAGCAGTAGCAGCAGACCGAAGCCGGAGATAAGGATTTTCTTCTGGAGAGGATCGGCTTTGGGGGCGACATGGAGGAATCCAATGACTATGAGGACGCCTGCAGTGCTGGGAAGAGTTTTATGGTTTGTACAGCGCTGCTGGCCTTCGGAAGCCACCCTGGGCCGCGCTTGGCAAAGCGGTTTCGATTTCGACCGAAGGACCGGACAGTTGGCACAGGAGGAGGCGAGGAGGTCTTTGCTCAAGGAGGTTTGCAGACCAAGACCTCTTCTTGGGACGTATGCCGTGGGCTTCATGTTGTCACCCTGGGCGACCTCGGTGGAACAGCTTTTTGTGATGAAGCTTATATCCTTGTGACCAGTGCCCAGTGCAGCTCCTTTTTGCAAGGAGGCATCATGGCACTCGTGGTGGCCCGTGCTCTCTTGGACCTCCCTTTGCGATTGGACGAACTCCCAATGGCAGAGGGCCAGCGCTCAAACAGCAGAAACATGGTCAGCGCGACGGTATTGTGCAACTTGCGCTTCCTTGTCTATGCGTCATCAACTCTTTTCCCCTACAACTCCCTCCTAGAGCAGTTCCCATGAAACTCGGGCACAGCAAAGCGCAACATCACGGCTGCGTCCGCCCTTTTGGAACTCACCTGCAATGCCGTCGTACACCGTACACTTAGGATTCAGACGTTTGGATTGTTTCCCAATCACCCTCTCTACGAGCAGCGAAGGCGTGCGAGCACAAGGAACCCGAAATGACACGCCCACGGCAGCAGGGATCTCAAGTAGGTGGATCCTGAGAGAGATGCCAACTGTTGTACTGCAGGTTTAAATGAATGACTTGTATGGAAGGGGATGGAATGGGGACTGCTACTATGATAGAGGCGTTCTGCCAGGAGTCAATCATGTCCGCCTTTGCGACATGCTTCACCACCAACACGCTGCCGGGGAGCTTATTTGGGTACAGTTGGTCGAGTAGGGAGAGTTGAGTTTAGTGGGGCGAGGATGCGATGGAATGTAAGGATATCAACAGCTCGGTGTTGTCCTCAAGCTCTGTTTACTATCCATGATATCCAAATTTCTTGCGCTTGTTTTCAGTATCCATCAGAGACTAAGAGTTCCGAAGGTCCTTGGTGTTCATTCTACACAAGAGATACAAGAGTACTTAAGCATTGGGTGGCTCTTTGTCTGAAGTGCGCATCAGGTTGTGGTACTCGGAAGCTTTGCGAAGCATTGGCGTGCATACCCCAGTGTGCGGGAGCTCGCACCAGGTGCGACTTCCTGGCAAATCCTGCAAAACGGATTGTCAGGGAAATCGATTGTAGAAATGCAATGCTCCCCCGCCTGATCATGATATCCATCATCATGATATCCATCAACCTTCCAAGCTTTTCCATCTTGTCAACGCCCCCCTGCCCGTTCATCACCCCCAAATCCTCCGTCCGATCTGATCTCGAGGCAGTGACGGAGTCTCGCCGCTTGGTGGAAGCCTTGGTGCAAAGCTCGAAGCATCCCGGTGTCCTTGCAGAGGTGGGGCCCGGTGCATCGCAGCGCATCGGGACGGCATCAAACGTGTGGGGAAAAACCGCGACCGCACGGTGTGGACAGAGCAGAGCTATTTGCGAAGTTCCGAAGAAATCTGGGGCCTCTGGGGGTTGGGATGGGTTGGTGAGGGGGTTGGTGTGGAACGCCATGAGCCAAAGAAATTGCTCATGGACTGGATAACTCATAAAGATGTCGTGTCATCCTTCGCGATGAGATTTGAGATGCCGCGATGTGAGTGGTTTCTGACAAAAAGACGATTCTTAGATATTATGCAGAACGGTTGGAAGGCTTGGGTCTGCATGTTTCATCTCACTGATTACTATGTGAACGTGTTATCCATTTTGGCACCAAACTCCATCGACGATCTTTGTCGGAGCGATTTTTCGTTCGGAGGCAGTGGACTTGCGCTCGGGGGAGCAATGGGGTAACACACCCTGCACATCAGCCCTGTGCCATGCCAGCAGTGAGTCAGTGGAGTTGACTTTTACTCCAAGATGTGGAAGTCAATGCGTTTTGATAAATTGTGCGTCCCAGCTTGGTGATCAATTTTTGGAAGTCGATGCAATGTTGCGTCCTGCTGGTGCTTAACAGATTTGTCTTGTTCAGAAGGTGACTTTTCTGGTTGTCGCAAAGCGAGAGCTGTTGGGTTTTTTACTTCAAGTAGAGGAAGAGGTACCTGTGTGCACTTTGGAGCCTGGCTTTGTGCGCTTTGGAGCCTGCTGCTTGGCTGCTGCTTGGCTGCTGCTTGTCTGCTGCTTGTCTGCTGCTTCCTTCTGCTGCTGCTGCTGCTGCTTGTCTGCTGCTGCTTGTCTGCTGCTGCTGCTGCTGCTGCTGCTGTAGTGCAAGTACTTCTTGCGAGGGCTTGTGGCTTCAAAATCGTGTGGCTTTTGCAGTAAGAGGGTGAAGTGGGACTTGTCATGGCTGGGCTGTGTGGTACCTCGTCCGCCACCTTGTCCGGTACCTCGTCCAAGCCACCCCTTCGTTTCCTGCTCTCGATGGTTGCAGTCCTATATGGCAAACACAGGTCTTTGCAGTACATGACTCAGCCATCGAAGGCAGCTGCATAGGAAAGGGAAAAAGGCAAAATCCAGTTGCATGCTCCAGTGCGGTTTCATGATGGTGGTGGTTTGACCATTTGCTTACTTGAGCATGTGTCTCCCTATTTTACCACAACAACCAAGTCTAGGATTTCTCACAGCAGCTGATTCAGGATTCCTCGCCGCAGCCTGCTTTAGATAATCCAGTTTCTGGTCAGGTTGCAGCTAGAAGAAAAACATGTCCACATCAGTTTTTAGAAGTATTTGGCACTCTGGCCTTACATAATGTAAGGCGAACTTGCAAAGTTGCCAGTGGAACTTACCAGACCCATTTTGAGACATTTTCAAACCTTCTCATACTTCTCATCAGATGCTTTCCATTCAGGTCCCGGGTCAGACCACCTGCACAATGGACTCTTGTACCGCTGATGACCGCAATCGAGGCTTTCTCTGATCAGAGTGGCATTGCGCTTGTCCCGGACCTGGCGAGAGGTTTGAGGTGGTCGAATGCGTGGGTCAAAGTCACGGCCAAGCAGAAGGCTTATGGACTATATATATATAGAAACTTCCTTGGGAATCACTGGGAATCGTTTCACCTGTAGTAACTGTAGTAACAAGAAACTTCCTAAAACAGTCTTAGAAGCTTACTAGACTTCTTTGAGGAGGCGATACCTCGGTATGAACGAGGAGGATATGAATGGACCAAACGAGGTCAACCTACCGTGACTCCACGACCCACGGCCACCTCATGGCCTGTGAAGGGCGGCGTCTAAAGATCACGAGAGGCATGAGGAATCCTGAGGAACCCTCAAAGAGAGTCTTCCCCTCCCCCTTTCTGTTTTTTCGGAGTTTCAAGATATTTTAAGATCCGCTAGAAATGGAAGGAGCTCCCATGTTTTACGTGTAAAAACATGCAACAGCCCGAAACTGCACTGATGTTTTGGGACGTTTTTGGATGGTTGAGGATTTCAGGTGACGTTGGTCCAGGCCGAGTTTGGGTGTGCAGCCGAGTTGGGCTCATTCTAGAATTTTTGGGGCAGCAAACCCTCAATCCGCCAAGGTGATGGCTTGGGGTGTTCAACATGTTCAGAAACACCGTGTGTTGGTAAATCTCTTCTGTCTGGAAAGACGCCGCGCGCCCGTCTTCTCACAGAGTCTGGGCGGATAAAAAGCCCGATGTCAAACTCGCCAACACCCAGTGACCGAGCCCCACAGGGACCAAACCCAGGTGATAAACAACACAAAACAACGATATGATGATTTATTTCGACATGCATCAAAAACGGGAATTCCAAGAGATCTAGTTTTCAAAAGAGTGAAAGGGCACAAGTCACAAGTCGCAGCTGTTCAAGAGTTTAACAAACACCAAGTGGTATGTCAACGAGACTTGCTCATTTCTTGGGCCGTCCTGCTTTGTTTGATCTCAGATCACAATGTTTGACGATCTGAAGATTTGGATCCAGATGAGTCGTCAAAATCAGCGGGTCGACGATCCAGATGAGTTGTTATCTCCACGCTGAGACATCTCATCGAACGCTGCGCTCCTGTCCCGTCACTGCGCTCCCGTCCCGTCCGCTGCGCAGGAATGGCCCGTTTTGAAGGGCTATTTCTTGGTGGGGACCATGACAGCCTGGACTGGGTCGAGACAATCCATTCATCAATATTTATTCACGTTGCGATGTTGTTTTGCTATTTGTTTGCTTCTTTGTCGGACTCAAATTGCAGCTTCAGATTGTTTTTTGTCGTTGGTTGATTTTGCTGAGGATGTGAATTTGTTGAAGGCAAAACGAAGTTTTTCCGCATGACAAGTCCATGGGAGCACTGGGTGGGGAAGGCTGGGTGGCAATGCCATTTTGGCTCAAGCCACCCAGCGCTGTTTCTCCCCCTTTTTGGGGGGGGCGTTGACGATGACGAAGGTGTCCGACCTCCTGTCCCATTTCGAGGTGGCCCCTGCTTTGTGGACGGCCTTCACGACCGAAGCTGGCAATCCAGGCGACGATCTCCGGTTACTCGCGGCCCTCCCTGGGCCCGTGGTCGCTGCCAGCCTGACTCAGGCCACCTTGGACGACACCTCCCATCTGACTGCCATTCAAGCCGCCCAGGTGGGATTGGTGTGGAAATTGGCGAGGCGACTGATGTTCGTACGAGGTGGGGGGCAGTGGGACGACTGGACCGAAGAGGACCCTTGGAAGACATCTTCATCCCATCCGAGCTCAACAGAACGGACTACAGCACCCATCGACTCCAAGAAGGACACGAAGGAGAGGACTCTCAAGTTCACCCAAGTCCTCGACCAGGGGGACGATGGAGAGTTCGAGGTCTTGAACGAGGAAGACAAGATGGGCTTGCTACAGAAGTTCATCAACACGACAGGTGCACTTCCAGAGGAAGAAGAGGAACCCACGATAGAGCAGCTGTCAGCCCTTCGAAAGAAGCTGAGCCTCGGCAAACCTCCTTACTGCGACTTTGGAGTGTTCGTTCCTTTCGGGAGGAAAGCTTTGAGGGCATCCAAGTACAGGACATGGATACCCACTTTGTCGAAGGAACTACCAGGTCCCGCCAACTTCACGCAATGGAGGGCTTGTTACCGGGTGTTCACGACAGCCATGATCATGCTGCAGGAGAGCTCACTGGCCCCGCTTCATGCCTACTATAATGCTTTTTGGGCTTGTGGACTTATAACATCAGTTACAAGTATATTAAAATTAGTTGTAAGTTGGGCATCTTAAGGTCTTAACTCCTTATGTATTTTTAATTTAGTTACAAGTTCCTTCAAGGTTATAAGTTAGATGTATTTACTTAAGGAAGTTATAAGCTAAGTTGGGGCAACGTACAAAACACGTACTAAGTCACATACAAGTAACTTATTGCAACTTATAAGTTGCTGCGGGAGGACGCACGTAAAACTTATGTCCAAATTTCCGCTGATGTTGCTCAAATTCTTCAATCATTGATGCGAGGCTCGCCCGCATTGGTGCCCGCGATGGCGGGCAGACAAGATGAGAGACAATGGGGAGGACAAGCCCCCCAAGAACCGAAAGCGTACATGGGTCCAATTCGACTTCCAGGTGGACAAGGAACCCTAAGCACCACGGACAGGAACGATATTTGGCAAGAATACGGCGTGTCAGCCTGCGTAAGGTGGCGGCAGCAGTGGGCAGAACGGTGCCTGACATTGTCAGGCCCGTCGCAACACCTCGCCAACGCCCAGCGGATGGCCCTGGAACGAATCAGGGCCAATGGAACTGAAGGGGGCCGGGCAGAAGATCCAGCTGTTGCGGAGCTGCGACGTCAAAATGGTCTGTTGTGCCAGCAGCTGAATCTTTTGCAGCAGCAGCTGCACACGACCTGGGGTGCGACCCAGCAAGCGCTGAACCTGGCCAAACAGGCTTCCAAAGAAGCTCATGAGGCCCATGACAAGGCCGAAGAAAACCAGGAGAGGCTCACAGAGTTGGAGAATAGAAAAAGGAAGCGAAGAAGAGGAAGGCGTGGAGAGAGAGAGAGAGAGAGAGAATGAGAGTGCAGATGACTCGCCTCCTCCAGAGCAAAAAGAGGAAACCGAGAAAGAAGAGGAAGAACCTGGAAGCGAACCAAAAAACGCCGAGACCGAGCAGAAGGTAGTTCCCAAGAACGCCAAGGACGAACCTGCTTCATCGCCATCTGAGGCCCGACATTTGTTTCGCTGTGCGACAAATTGCATGCAAGGCTTCTTGTTTTTTTGGTGATTTTTTCCTTTGTTCATTTGTCAAGTTTTCACATGTGTCAAGTTTTGATTATGCCCCCCCACAATTTTTCACCCCAAGCTGCCAGGACAGCAGTGCGCCTGACTACAACGGAGATCGATCACCTGTGGATTCTCCTACTTCGCCGGCGTCCCCACCATGCCTGCCTTTGACTCATATTGGCCCCCTGGAACATGAGTCGGGCCTGGAAGATCCTGAAGAAATTCCTTTTCCGGACAAAGGAAGACAGGATGAACAATTTTGCAAAGGGTGAGGCTCGACCCATCCCAGCCTGATCAAATCTGCAGACAGGGCTTGCGCAGCGGAAGGGAGAAAAAAGAAAGGCCCAGAGGAAGGGAGCGCAGGGTTATGATATGGTGTGATTTGTAATCACTAGAAATAGGAGAAAGAAAAGAAACAAATAGACTAAATCTAATGCCTTTGAGTTGCATCAATTTGGGGTGTGTGAACTTTGAAACATTTGTTTTATGTCCGCTGGTTTTTGGCTTCTGTAGTTAGTTTTGCGGGAAGGCTCGCCTCCTGCCATGTTTCCTTGCAAAGCGGGGGCTGATGAAAACACAGCTCGAAAATTGCCTCGCAATGTGACTTTCCGAGACTATGTTGCGTTGTTGGGCAATGAGGGCGCCAGCGACTCTCATCAAAGAAAAAAGATCCGAACGGAAGTCACTCGAGATTTAGAAAGCCCAGGTCCCTGTGGCAAAATCAACGGATTTCTCACTTTGAGTGTCGATGGGGTTCCATTCAAATGGCACTACCTCCAACCAGCAGCCCTAGTGAACCGTTTATGCAAGGCTCGACCTGCAATGGGAAATTTGATCCAAGGTAATGGGGGGCCAAGCGTCGCCATTTACATGGACGAAATGAAACCGGGCAATGTTCTCCGACCAGACCCTGGAAGATCCATAGCCTGTTTCTATTGGACATTTCTCAATTTGCCACCATGGTATCATTGCAGGCAAGATGGTTGGTTTTTCTTTGCCTGTTTTCCAACGAAACTGGTTGGGAAACTGCAGGGAGGCTTTACATTTCTTTTCGCAAAAATGCTGGAAGTGTTCTATACCAACGACCCTTGGAATTTTGGGTGTGGAATTCCATGTTCCTGTGCCAATGGCACCTTTGTGCTGAAAGCCCCTTTCAAATTACTTTTGTGCGATGAGAAAGCTATGAGTGCAATGTGGTCACTGCGGGGAGCCAGTGGTACAAAACCATGTGTGAAATGTCAAAACGTGGTAGGGCACATGACAGCCGAACAAGTCGAAGAAGCAAATGTGGGGTGGATTGTGCATTACAGTTGTGCTGACAGGCACCTTTTCGCTCCCAACACCACTGAACTGCTGCTTGCCATGAGACACAAGTTGCAAGCTGCGCCAAACAAAAAAGAATGCAATCGGCTGGGGCAATTGTATGGGCTGCAGTTTTCTCCTTTTTGTCCATTGTGGCACCCTGTTCTGGGTCCACAGCTATGTCCCATCCAGCAGACTAGTTTTGACTGGATGCATGTGCTTGTTGCTTCGGGCGGTGTTGCTCAGTATGAGCTGAATGAGTTCCTCAAATCTTTGCAGAGCACTGGAATTTCCCTCCAAGTGCTCAATGATTTTGCCAGCCTTATGGTTGTGCCAAAATCTAGGCAGGCTTTGCCAAGAAACTTTTTTCTGGACCGGCTCAACATGGAGGACAACAGCCCGATGAAAACTTTTTCCTCCGAGGTTCTGACTGCTGTGCCAATTGTGGTTTTGTTTTGCGATACGGTTTTGCAACCCTGTAGCGTTCTGCCCGATCACTGCCAATCAATGCGGCATTTGGGAGATATTCTGGACATTGTCACCCAGCAAGGAAAAGCTTTATTGATGCTTAACTTTTTGGAGGAAAGCATTGACAAACATGGAGTTCTCTTCAAGAAACTTTATGCTGGATGTTGCAAACTGAAATTCCACTGGTTGTATCATATTCCGGAGAATTTCAGACAGTTCCAGGCCAATATGTCTTGCTTTGCACCAGAGCGCAAGCATCGGGCTACTAAAACTGTGGCGGCCCATGTTTTGAACGACCATTTGTGCGAGCACACAGCTGACAGGATGGGCCAAGAAATCCTCGCAGATTTCCAAGACACTGACACGATCCTGTGCCCAATACATTTATTGGGTGTCAAACGTGAAATTCCTGAAGGGCCTCAACTATTAGCTTTTTGGAGCTCCGACATCATGGTCGTGCACACTAGCAAAAAAATGATGAGCGAGACTGGGGTGATCTCTTTGGGTGATATGCTACTTGACCTTGAGCAAGGGGAGTTGGTGGCTCCAATTTTCTTCCTCGAGGTTACATTAACTACAGGTGCCAAGAAATTCTTGGCGCAAGTTTCCATCTACCAATGGAAAAAAGAATGCCTGTTCGACCGAACAGACGCTGAATATTTGCTGGAATGGCACTCAGGTTTGAAGCCTGTGATCTACACCAAAAGATCTTGCGGGTCTATCCAGGTGTGCTTGGGGTCATTTGACCAAAAAGCCCTGAGGCTGGCCCGGGGTCACTAAAGGGGAACGATCAAAGCTGACCGACAACTTTGAGTTCTTGGGGGAAAATGCTGCTGAGCTCTGTGTGCTATGTCCACCCAGTTCAGGATTGACGCTTTTGAACATAGTATTAAATTTCTACCAAATGGTTAGTTGTTTGATTGTAGGTAACATTTGAAAGGGGAGAAGCCCTTTCAACAAACGGCTGTGAAATAAACTAGAAATATACTTACTTAGGGCTCATTAAGACAGATGTAATACAAAAAATAGACTAAACAGAGAGATAAATAGAAACGTGTCTGTGGACTACCTTCAACTTACACCTTATGGAGTCAGTCCTGCACCTTTGAAAATGGTATCTTTAGGGCTCCAGCTTGGGT